TCAAGAGCCGCACCGGGAACATTATTTAAAACATAAACAGGTTACATATGGAAATAATATTTACAAAAGAAAACAAGAGAGGCACAGATTTTTAGGTCCGTACATAAAAACGCGACTATAAGTTCCTTAACACAAAGTAGACATTACCTGGCTTAGTACCATAAAATTAACATTCTTGATATCAAAATGGTGAATATTATAATTAGGTTTACAGGAAATACTGCTTGGCGGATAGAGTTGTAACTCAAATACACACAAGTAGCTATACCTAATACACATGTTGAACTAGATGACGATGTTCCTACTCATTGTCGTGTTGCAGGTCCAGAGCCTTTGTTGACTCGACAAAGTTTATAAGTGCGTTAAAGATCTTCTTATTTCTAACTAAGACGTTGTGGTCGCAAGGCCAGTTGTATCCCTCCTGTAACACTGTCCTGAGTAGATTCGTCCTATGTTGGGTGTATTGGTTGCAGTCGAATATGAGATGCTGTGCGTCTTGTTGCGAAGTCCCATTGCACTGACAATGTGGGGAGTTCCTGTGCCCAAATCTGTTTAGGTAGGTCAGGAAATTCTCGTGGTTGGTGAACAATTGAGTAGTTCTAAAGTTAATGCTGAGGTGTTGAAGCTGTAGTCGCTGTGCAATGTCTGGGAAGAAGCTGAAGGTTGTCCTTCCTGTCTCATCTTCTTCCCAGTTGCGCTGCCAAATGTTGATCATAGTGTTCCAGATGAGTTTCTTGGTTGCCACCAACGGAATGTCTTCGAAGGCAATGTCAGTAGTACTCGAGTAGACCTCTCTAGCAAGGCGATGGCGCGATTCAAGTATAGATTAGGATGTTTCAAATTTTTATAAGATATTATTATTTATTGTGAAATTTTGCCGCCCCCTAAAAAGTGCCGCCCGGGGCGGGCCGCCCCCACAACGGTACGCCACTGTGTGGCTGTCGTATTTAGCCCAAAACGTGTACGGCGAATGGTTGAGCGCCACCATCTGACAGTTCTGGACAGTCGATAATGGCATTTGCTACGTCTAGCAAGGCAAGTAGATGATCGGCTTTACCTTCTTCATTTGTTTGTATTTGTTGTTAAAATTATGATTTATTTTATTAAAATAATGATTATTTAAGAAGTTATGAATAATATTGTAAAGAAACAGATGATTTTAATCCAGAAATTATTTAATTATTCAATTTTTTAGTAAGTGATGTAGAATTTACATATATTTGCATTCATAATAGCTTATCTTAAGGTATGTTTGTTCTTCAATGGTATCTTCTACCATCAACAGCATNCTCCAATATTTATTATCACACTTGAATTTATTTGATAATTAAAACTGGCACAATTTTTATTACAGGGCATATATGCTGAGCTTGATGTAGTAGAAGGAAGTATGACAGTAACGGCAACAAATAAAACATGGGATCCTTACATTATTATCAAAGCAAGAGATATGATCAAATTGTTGGCAAGAAGTGTACCATATGAACAGGTTTCAAATTTTTAATTTTATAATTCACAATTAAATTGATTTTCTGAAGTTTTGTTCATCATAAATAAGTTAATGAAGTAATATATGAAATATAACAAGAATGCATCTGTTCATGTGTAAATACATTAATAAATTAATTAGTATAAACTATTTAGATCTCACATGTCAGTTCAATGATAAAATATGAACAAGATGATATAAAGACTGGTTTATAAATAAACTAATAGGCTGGAATGCCCTGGTGGGTGTTCTAGCAGCAGCAGTGTCTTTCCGTGGTATAAATAATAAATTCATATCAATAATAAAATCCTATTACAAATAAAAATATATATAGATATTT